TATGCCCTCACTTCAGCGGGGCTTCTGTGTCCTGAGGGGAGGTGACCCCTAAGGCGTCTGCTGTGGGATGGGAAGAAAGCCTCAACAGTTGAGGAAGGGAGGATGTCYACAAGCCAGTGCCTCTGTGCTGGGGCAGTGGGAACCACTGGGTCGTCATCTCCAGCATGACCCCACCTGCCCCAAGGTGCTGCCCAAAGACGTGTCCCAGTTGTCATCCATCCCCCCAGGTGGCCTTTCCTCCCCATCATCCCAGAGCTCCCCGCCAGGATTCCCGACGTTTTTCAACTCTTGTCTTGGAGGTAATGGCTGTTAGGGTAATTTTTCCATGATAACCAGTGAGGCTTCACATTGAGCTTATTGTGCTAGGAAGCCCAAGGTTCTTCTTCTAGCATGGACTGGTGTTAATCTGCTGGAGTCCATGAGGTGGCCCAGCAATGACCAGGAGGAGTACCCATCCCTAGGGCTTCACATTAAGGAAATGACACTGCTGCTGACCATGAGGTTCATGGTGGCAGAGGTATCCCCTGTGCCCACGCTGTTGTTTTAGTCGTCATTGCCTGCATCCAGGAGCAATCCAGGTGGGACAGCAAATGGGGCACATCAGCGGTGGATGGGCAGGAAGAGAGGAGGAAAAAGGCAGAAAATGCCATTCATGGAKCCAGTGCAGGAGCCCAGGCTGGTTGGAGTGCTTGAGCAAGATGCCTTTCCAGTGGCTGTGCCTTCATGTGCCTGCAGCCTTGGGGTCAAAGGCAGGAACTCCCTTGGATTTATCACCTCACCCCTGGGGCTGTGTCATGCCAGAGGAACTATTGTTTGGAGCCAAAAAAACAAGTTCCACCAGTCAAACTTTGCACCTTAATGCAGTCGTGTGGCTGCTGCAGTGGTGTTTTTTAAACGGTGCAGAGTCTTCTGCAGGTCAAAACAAAACAAAGTAGGAAAAAAAAACCCTTCTTTTGCTTTTCGCCTTTGACAATCTCACTCTTGGAAGCATTTCAATATTACGGTGACATCCCTTTAGTTAGAAAGAAGGTGTTTTAAATTAAATGCCTACAATAAATTGTAGCAGAAGAGATTTCCTGAAGACAGGTCGGTTTGCAGGAGAAGGTAGATGATTTATATCCATTTAAAATACATTAATTAAATCGCTTCCCTGAAAGTGGGTTCTCCATCCATTCTTTGGCACACAGTTATTTATCACCTTTCCTAATGAGTTGAAAGGAAAGCTATACAAGGACYGGGGTTTGTGTTTTGCAATCCTTGTACACTGATGTCAGTATTATAGGAAATCGCTAGAGAGGAAAGCAGTGGGAACTGCTGTATTCTTGCTTTATCACGCAATTCCATTGGTTTTTCTTTTTTTTTTTTTTTTTTCTGCTTAAAGGCTGCAAAGTTTCTTTGAAAAGGTTTCTTTGAAATTTCTTTGAAAAGGCTGCAAAGTTTCAATCATCTTGCAGTTTGCCGTTTTTTGTTGTTGTTCTCCTATCAACTAATAAATAGTTAAATTTTTAGGTAGAAGAGGATAATTACAACGTTTCCATTTGAGGTATTGTAGAGCCCCAAGGCCCCCTCTTTGACAAATGCATTTTTCAGCAGCTCATTGTAATTTTGGTTTTGACTGAAGATCCAGCAAAGTTAAAACACACACCCTTTACTGCAGAAAGGTGCATTTTCAGCCTTCAACAATGGCTTTATTTAGTAAGGTTTTAATGACTCTTTTTGCTTTGGACGTGAAAATGTGGGAATCTCTGCAGTGAGGGGCTGTCCTGAGGATTGCAGCAAAGGTTTCGTGTGCCGTCCAAGCTGACAAAGAAGAGCCAGTTCTGGGGATGATGATTATGCCAGATGGAAAAATGCTGATAGACTGTAGGAAAATGCAAGTCTGAGGATAACTGCTCTGCAAACCAATTTCAAAAAAAAAAAAAAAAAAATTAGCTTTGAGCAGTTATTTGACCTTATGCCGTACACCGGAGATGTATATAGTGCTTTAGTAGCAGTGTTGTTAGTCGCACTGGGACGAGGAGGCTGTGACTTGCTGCAGGTGTGCTTTGCTCAAGAGAGAGTATGAGGCCTCGTTGGGTAAGAATGGTGTATTTTGAGTAATTCAGTATGATTTAATGGGAAACCACTTCTGCCACAAAGCAGAGCAGCTTGAGAAGGAGGAGGCTTCATCTTGCACAGGGAAGCAGGAGTTACTGGGTAAGCTGTACTGGGAAAGCTTCAAGTTGGCTGTAGCCCTCAGTATTTGAAAAAATCCYAAGTACTGCTCACCAAATACCATCTTCACCTTTAAAATTTAAATTACCAGCTTCATAGCGGATGGGGACAGCTACTTTGCACTTAAAGAGAGTAGTAGACACTCAGGACCCCCCAGTTAGCTAGTCCTGTTTAAAGCTTTGCTGCACCCGTAGATGCTTCTCATCTGAGAAAACCCAACAGGAACGAAGCCGTTTGACCCCATTTACAATCTGGCATGGTTTCAGTAGTGCTGATGTTTTTTAAGTGGGTGGCTGTGTAATTTCCCTATATATGAGACGAGAGCGTGAAATATGCTTTCAAGAACTCCCTTCATTTTTGGTAATCAAAGTAAAGCTTCAGTTGATTGATCAAGTAGAGGAAGGAAAGCCCAAACATCTCAGCTGCAAGTTATGGTTGAGTAGGCTTGTGCTGACATCAGAAATTATTAATTGCAGCAGCTAAATTACAAAGATGTTATCATGGCTTGGGAGCCAAGAGAGCTGTAATTGCCAGGGCTGTTAAGACTTCCCCTTTTGCTGCCTTTCTTTTGGCTTTAACCATCCAGACCCCGAATCAAGGTAAAAGGGAGCTGACTTACGTGGAGGGCTTGGGGCTGTCTCAAGAGCAACGTGCAATAGGGACCTATTGATTTGTTAAGAGGTGCTGTCTTTTCAAGAAACTATAGACACGATGCTCTCCCTCTCTTCTGCTGTGACATACCAACCAAAGATAGTATTTGCTTATGGTGCAATGGGCTTCTTGGGGTGAATGAGCAGCTCTCAATATGAAGGATCATTAAAAACAGGTTGAACTATGTGTTTTAATTAAATTAAACACCTGTCTTTAGCCCTCACTTTTGCTGTTGTTGTTTGTTTTTAATTTTGATAAAAATTAGCAAGCTTGAAAATACAAGGTTTGAGTTGTTSGTAGTTTTCACCAGAAAATAACAGGTTTACAGCCCAGGATATCTCCAAGAGGAGCCCACCGCAGTCAATGTATTCAGGTGCATGTTCCTACCTTTGCCCAGAGGCGCGTGTCCCAGTTCAGAAGGGCACTGGAATATTTCCATAGGGCCTGAAATTGCTGCACTGGAGTCAGGAGGACGGGCTAACTGACCGATACGGGTAAACCTGCTTGAGATTACAATTAGACACATTCTTCAGATGCTGTTAAACTGGGGGCATGGGTAGCTTAAGAAAGGAGCGTGGTTAGCAATGTAATGTTTCTGTAAATTTTAAAGATAAAGGGAAAAAAAAGTCATCCCATTGGATGACTTGGTTTGCAATACCTGCACTGCGTGTTTGTCCATTGAAACAGAAAGTTATCTGGTGAGATTGAGAACTGAATTACGTATTGTCAGCAGATAACATGAATAAGTATATTAATTTAATCAGAAAAAAAAATCTCCAAATGCCCTATCTCTATAAGATTAAACTTTTGAATATGGAAAACATCAGCACTTTGCAGGRGAAGATTTTTTGTAGGTTCAGAAATAAAAAGAGAAACAGTTGATTGTTACAGGAAACTTGGAAAATGACCAGTGAGTTTAGTGAGTATATGAATAGTTATATGTATAGTTATTTTAATATCAGTTTTGTGAACTTATTTATAGGCCGATAACATCTAAGAAGCGCAATTGCTCTTATAAGGCTTCAAAAAAAAGTACTAGTTATAAGTCTTGTTTTTAAAAATTGAAATGCAGAGGTAGTAGAAATTTCAATATATTACAATAGAAATACTTAATTGCCTGCTGTAAGGAAAGGTACCGCAAAGAGGAATTTCAGTTCTTTTCCAAGTTTTCAATTTTTCCATGCTGGAGGAAAATTTAGGATTTTTTTCCCTTTTCTTTCTTGGATTTCTTTATATCACTAGCGCATCATATTTTCAGCGTTATGCTGAAAATGATACTGGAAAATTGTTTGCCAGCTTATAAATCTTCTCCTTAAGCAGCTTTTATTTAAGGGCGTGTTAGGAGTGGAGGGTCTGCCGTGACTTCCAGGTCATTTTGATTTTGCCCACTACTACATTCCAATCACTTCAGACCTGAGGACTTTTTGTTGGTGGCTTCTGTGTCCTAAATTCCAGGCATGTGTTTCTGAGGCACTAGCAAAYGTTGAAGCTATTGCATAGTGGAAGAAGGCAATCCTAACTCGTGAGCTGTTTTATCTGCTCGAAAAAGAGTTGTACAAGGCAGGAAAATTACCTGCTGTCTGAACAAGGGCTTTCTTGGATTAAATTCTCAGGTGCTACAAATGGTTGTCTTGTTTTCTAAAATTCTTGATGGAATTCACACTACCTACTAGGATTGCCTGGCAGGGTAGAAAGTACAAAAGTTGGCACCAAGATTAATTTTGCTGTGCTTAATTCCATCTCTGCTTTATGGCTTAGCAAGTTAGCACTACGCTAGCAAGATAAGTTTTCTTCCCTGTGCCTCCTTTGCTTGTTCGAGGATGCAGRTATGAAGGTTGGAGTCAATTTTAAAGCTTGCTTTTTGGTAAAAGCTTTAAACTGAGCCAGGAAAAAGAATTATCCCATTGGTACTACATGCCTAGCRGTGATATAGAGAGTAGGCTCTATGGCAGGCACGTAGGTGATGAGCTGTATGGATTCAAACTCGATGTCCAAAGGAGATAAGTCATRAAAACCAGCAGACCTTTCTCATTTGGCAATCTCAATAGGATAAGGCTTGTAAAAATAATACTCGTTTTGAATTGTGTGTTGTCTTCTGACCCTCTTTGCCTCCCTTTGATTTGCTTTTCCTGCAGCTGGGATGACAGCAGCTCAGTCAGCAGCGGCATCAGCGACACCATAGATAATCTCAGTACGGATGACATCAACACAAGCTCCTCTATCAGTTCTTATGCCAACACCCCTGCCTCGTCCCGCAAAAACATAGATGCACAGGTAAGATTTGTGTTTTAGTTACACTACGTTTGGATATTAATTATTTTCTCTGTGCAGTAGGTGTGACTTTCTAAAGTTAGAGGAGCTGCTTATCCATCCTTGGACAGGTAGTGGTTCTTGACATAATAACAATTCCGTGCACGTGTATTTGAAGCAGTTGTGTTTTCAGCTGCTCTGGTTTGCCGCTGTCTTTACAACGCAGGGTGACAACTTGGAAACTGATCCAGGGAAGAATTAAGAATGCAAAGAGTTGGGGTTATTGCCTTGACAAATGTTTAATAGCATATTACTTTGCAGACAATCAAAACTAAGCGACAGAGTCCTGAATTAGCTGACACCAGTAATTTACATGGACCTTTACTACCTCCCTCTTTTTTATACCCTTGAACATGTGAATTCACATATAACATTCAGTACAGTGAGTACCACTGAAAATTCAACACTGTGCAATTGTAACTCCCATATCCTGTGTGCTATATAGGATTACTTCCTCTACATGTGATATCCGTGGAGGCTCTACCATGGTGGTATGAGAGGAAAGGAGTTGTTTTTTCTCTTAATGGTATATCAAAATGGTGTATCAAAAACACCTGTTAATAGACTTTTCTTTTCCTTAGCTCTAGAAAAGGTTTACGTGGTTTTATTAAAGAACAGAATTAATTTAAGTGAACATACAATTTTAAAAAATGAACATGCAAATGTACAAGGCAAATAAAATATATTACTGTAAACTTCCAGGGCTGCAAGTTACTGCAGGCTTTCTACTTTTGGCTGCATTTCATAGGAAGATAAATTTTATGTCCACCAGCAGCTTACATGTAGTTCTTTATGCTTGGATATTATACATCCCCTAGCTTAAACTAGTGAAGATATTGAGCAGCTTTAATTCATCAATTAATGTGTGTAATACAGAGATTTGTAATAATACAACCTATTTTCCCTAATAGTATGAGATTGCATTCGGCAAAGTGCTGGACTGAGCAATCCAGTTTTGTTCTTTAGATACTTGCCCGCTCTAGGCAGTCGAGTGTCCTTTGTCAAAGCAAATGCAGAGTAAAACTTAGCACTGCAGCAAGCAGGGGGCAGAGATCTATATTTGCATTTTTCTTCTGTTCTCTTTATTCTCTTTTATTCTGTTTTTTTTTTTTTTTCTTTTCATGACTGGACCCTAAATCTTTTCTAATATCCGTTTTAATGTACAAGTGTTGGTCCTGTGAGGTGTTACTCCTCCTGCAGGACTGTGGTGCAAGCAGGTATTGCTCTCTGTTCCCTTGCATTAAGTGCATTTTTGAGCCTACATTAAAGATTTTCAGAGCCAGCCTCTGGTTGTGTATCAGTGATTCTCTGTGTGCACAGAACTGCTCATACATGTACCATGCAAGCTGAGAGGAGATCAGAGAATTCAGAGTGTTCTTTGGTATATCACAGAGCAGTAACATAGACAAGTAGGAGGTTTTCTGACAATTTTTAATGCCTCAGTATTGTAATACTGTTGGTGGGGAGGAAAGAAAAGAAARAGGATACGTGACTGCAGACTAACCTAGGGAAAATAAACTCATTTGACTTTTATCTTCTGATGGATCAGATTTTTGGAAACACTTCTAAGAGATCAAAATCTCTGTTGACAAACTCCTCTTCCTCCTCCACAATTTCTGCAGCATCCAGGAGAGCGCAGGCATGTAGTACAGAACAGGATCTGAAGCTTGTACAGACAATAGAGGTTATTCATTAAAAGAGGGAACTGGTCCTTGAAAATACCAAATTCTAATCATGTCAGCCATGCCAATGAATAGTGGCTTGGAGCAATGGAGCCACAGCTAGTTTGGAGAGTTGATTTTTAGCAGCCTGAAATGACCCTCTCAGCTCATGACACTACATATGTGCTTTTCTGCCCTGCTGTTGCATGCTGCCCGGTGCACTGAGCCACAGAGACCAACAGAGATCCACATAGGCGTTTAACTTTTAAGCTACAGTGCTTCTACCACATCTTTTTGAGGTGGTGCAGCATTGGGGTTTCAGATAATTAAAGCTTGAAGCAGCAAATGGTCCGGGCAAATAATACAACACATCAAAGGGAGAGGGCCCTGACATGTTGGTGTCTGTTGATACCATCAGCAAGACTTACTCAGAATCATCTTTGCAGGAAGAAAGCATAGTTATAAAAGAGGAAAAAAAAAAAAAAAGTCTATGCTAAGCAGAAGATTAAGATTTTTTTTTTTTTTGGAGCAACTATCTATAGCCCCAGAAATATATGCAAGTTCCACAGCTCTGTGAAGCATGCTGAAAAGCATGACGGTGACTGCCTCTTCACAGACATGTCACAGGGGCATGTTTGTTGGGTTGTGGAGGCTTAAGGTTAGTTATGTTTTAGTGCAGCACTGCATCTGATATGGTCATATTGGTGAATATATGGTCATATGGTTAAGGTCATATTGTACACAAACTGTAATAGGAAGCTGAGACCAAGCAGCCATTAGAAGATAACTTATTTAACTGAAAAATGAGTGAAAGAGATCGTGTAATAAACTTGTTCACATACTGCGAAAAAGATAAGGAGAATGGAAAACAGCAACATCCTCAACCTGTTCAATCAGGAGGACTTCTCAGTACCGCTGGAGCAGAGAGGGACCCAATCTGCTCACGTCTTTATGAAGAGACTTGCAAAGCTGTACRAGTAGATTTTGAGATCCTACGAGTTGCCTTTATTTCCAGCTCAACCTGATGGCAGCTTTTGTTCCCATCTCATGCTGTATTTGTCTTCAGTGACCTCTAGCAAGCAGTATTTCCACTTTCACCTAGTGCAAGGCTTTCAAGTAGGTGGAGTTTCAGTTGAAACAGCAAAGCCAAGTTTCGCCGTGTTTGGATTTTGATTCCTTAGTCATGTTTCCATGCTCTTCTCATTGTTTACCATTAAACAGAAAGGACACAAACATTTTAGAAGCAACCAAAACTGGAATAAGCACTTTAACTGGCAAGTAGGCGTATTTTCTGCCCTGGGACACATGCGGTGGAAATAGCTCCAAACAAGGTTGTTGAAGATAGTAATTAAAGCACGTGAGGGATGATGATGGTGTGGTTTTGCTGGTTGATTATTTGTTCTTTCTTGTCTGAGCTGTCTTCCAAGATGCATGAGCGTAGGGGACATTTCCATGCAATTATAATGTTAGAGAAACAGAGAAGGTAGAAATGGTCTCACCRTGAATTTATTACAAACCTGCTGCTGCTCATAAATAAAAGGTGAGCAATTCTCAAATATTGCACCCATAGAAAAAGAAGGAAAGAAGGAAGTTAGAAAGCAGTATTTTGTTTAAGATCGTGCTACTTTCCTGTCTTCGGATGAAGAGATGGGAGAAGTGATATTGTGACCACCAGGAGAAAACTATAACAAAAAAGAGTGTCAAAATCCATAATACAGTAAATTCTTGTTAGTCTAATGGCTCACTAGATAAAAATTACCTAGACCCTCGCTATATTATACAACTGAAAACAAGACTATTAAAATCTACGGTGTCAACTTTCAAATACTGAGACCTTAAACTAGTTTTTCAGGCTTTTAAAAATACTGTAAAATGCAAAGGAGACAAAGCCACAAAACCCCTGTCTTCTTTTATGTTAATAGTATAATCTGGCAAGAAAAGAAAACTTAGTGTTGAGATGCACTATAGGAACGTAAAAATCAAATGTTGTGTTCTGCTGAAAGCCTAGTAAAATGTCACGCATCCTTCTGTGTGCTCCACTTTTCTGTTTATCCAAAAGGAGTCAAAGGATGCGAGTTAAATAATGGTTTRAGGGTTGTTAAAGTACGTTCCTTTAAAGTGCTGTTACTCTTTGATGTGTTGCATAGTGCTTCAGGGAAGAGATGGTGCTCCGCATCTTGCACGAATATACTAACCTCCTCACAAATGTCACCATCRAGTGTTGTGTTTGCAGTTATGGTTAGAAAGCAATTCAGCAGGGAAATTTTTACCTGATCTGGGTCAAACACGGCCGTTGGACACGCGTGGTCATAGAACAGTGTTASAGGATTTGCCCAAATGAATGAGCAGCATTTAACAGGAGCCGTAAAATTCTGCAACAGCACCGAAAAATGAGAGGTATATTTAGGATAACAGATTCGGATAGAGCTGTTCAGAGTTTGGCAAAGACTTGGCAACGAGAAAATGCTGTTTTTGTCGTTGATCTTCACAAAATTCTGTGGAAGAGCCTGTCAGCACAATCAATCCGGGCAAAGGRTAAGGAAAAAACAGTTTGTGAGAGTTGAGTATAAATGAACAACTGGCTCAATTTGTGTGTTGAAGTCAGAAACTGATATTGGGAGAATGTGGTTGGGGGTTCATTTTTCTTCAGGTCTTAGGCGCCTTCTAATGCATTTGGATTCGAATGAACAGCATTCCATATACTGAAGTCTCTGCCAAAAAGCTGCCTCCTCGTGCTCCGGTGATCAGATTGCCAGCAGAGAGATGGGGAACGGCGAGAACAAAGGAGAGCTAGCTGTGCRGGTTTGAAATGGGTTTTAGGCACCGCAGTGAAAGGCTTCTTGTGAAACTGGAGATGCGGGATTATAAATGTCATGGAGCTGAGTATGTCCTTGGTAAATGAACTGTTTATTTTTTATTGTCTCCTCTTCTGGGGAAGATATTCTCTTACTGGGGAAGTTGCTTGTGTGTTTTTTGTTATCTTCCGGAGCTCACTAGAGAATGAATGTTATATTTATGGTTTGTTTCTTACTCGGACATTTCTTGGCCAGAGCCGTGTTATGTCTATTGACAATTGGACCTGGCTGCTGAATTTATTAATCGATTTGATGGTTCTCATTTGTGAAGCTTCTTAAAAGAAAGACTCGTTCTGAAGGTCCTATTTTCATGTATTCTCTCTCCTAGACTGATGCAGAAAAACATTCCCAGGTTGAGCGGAATTCCTTATGGTCTGGCGATGAAGTCAAGAAATCAGATGGAGGATCAGATAGCGGCATAAAAATGGAGCCGGGATCTAAATGGAGACGGAATCCCTCTGATGTGTCTGATGAATCTGATAAAAGCACTTCTGGTAGGAAGAACACTGTTATTTCGCAGACGGGTTCCTGGCGACGGGGCATGTCAGCTCAGGTTGGCATTACCACACCAAGGACTAAACCTTCAACCCCCTCAGGCACGTTAAAGACACCTGGAACAGGTGAGACAAAGTGTAAGAGCTACGCGGCCAAGAGCGTGTTCAGTAGCAGAGCTGTTTAAATGCAGAGGCAGAACTTGAACTTCAAGGAAACCTGTCGTTACTTTTAGGTGTTGTGTAAAAGTAGGCAGCATCTTTTATCTCTACATTGCTATTTCTGCTCRTATGAAAATCCATATTATTACACCGTGGAAGTTGTTTTCATGGCAACCCTAATCTTAAGCCAAGCTACTTATTGGGCATAGTATTGCCATATGAAGAGCAGATAATACGATTTAGCTCGTTAATACGTGCTTAAGTTTAAGAGCATACATTGTGTGYGGTTGAGGACGTTTTCTCAGTACTAAACCAGCATGCTAGTTTATACTTAGAACGCTCCGCAGTTCTGAATTTTCCTGTAAATATATTAGGCGTTTTAGCAGTTGTAGATGTGTGGATGAAAACTGATTGYATTTGTGTAATGAAATAATATAAGCTAATAACTCTTCTCTTRCTTGATCGTGTACGCAAATCGTGCATGAAAAAGTTGAGGTCACTCACTTACTTTCTTGCCTTTTAGAAAAATTTTACTAATGCCCTAACACCACTCCTTCCTGATGATGAAAAGGGGTCAATCTGTGGTAGCTACCGAGGGAAACATTTCTTTTCCTATCTGTCACTGTTACATAAGACTTTGTTCTCTGTTTTTCGTATTCTCAAGGGCAAACAYGCCACATAGTTTCGCTGGCAAGTCTGCATGTATAACTCATTAGAGTGGCATTTAAGCTTAGTGCAGACTAGATCATAATTTTTAACCACACTCTTGTGGCTAACACGCTTTTGCTTTTCATGCTGCTTTGAGTTTCATCATTTGCTTGATGTTTTCAAGTCATTAAATATTAGAATTCTTTTTCTATTTTTGTAGGGAAAACTGATGACGCCAAGGTATCAGAAAAGGGTAGACTATCTCCTAAAGCTGGACATGTTAAACGTTCCCCATCAGATGCAGGACGCAGCAGTGGTGATGAATCCAAAAAGCTTCCCACAAGTAACTCTAGAACAACTGCTGCTAATGCTAATGCATTTGGATTTAAGAAACAAAGCGGGTCAGCCATAGGCATGACTATAATCACTGCCAGTGGGGCAACTATCACCAGTAGATCGGCCACCCTGGGAAAAATCCCAAAGTCATCTGGACTCATGGGTAGGACCGCTGGTCGGAAGACTAGTGTTGATGGCTCTCAGAACCAGGATGATGGCTACTTAGCGCTTAGTGCCCGAACTAATCTTCAGTACCGTAGCTTACCCCGGCCCAGTAAGTCCAGTAGCAGAAGTGGAGCCGGGAATAGATCTAGCACCAGTAGCATAGACTCCAACATAAGCAGCAAGTCAGCCGGGTTGCCTGTCCCCAAAATGAGAGAGCCGGCCAAGGTAATGCTTGGAAGCTCTCTGCCAGGATTAGTCAATCAGACTGATAAAGAGAAAGGGATTTCGTCTGACAACGAAAGCGTGGCCTCATGTAATTCTGTTAAAGTGAACCCTGCGTCCCAGACTGCTTCTAGCGGAGCTCAAAGTACCCACCAGCAAGGAGCCAAGTACCCCGATGTGGCCTCTCCCACTTTGCGCAGGTAGGCAACAAATTCGTTGATTGTGGAATGATGTTAGTTGGAGCTGAATGACCAGGACTCGTCCAGCCAGGCCTGGCTGTGTTTTGTGGACCACTCGCTGTTTAGGGTCCTCCGTCAAGGTCTTTGTATTTAAATTTAATTTCACGTGAACAGGTTGGCCAGTGTTGTGAATCATTTATTGCAAGACACCAGCAAGCATTTAACGTTTGGGAAAGAAAAAAAGAAGTTGGGTAGAAAATTTGCCAGTTGCGATGAGGTTTATTCATTACAACAAGCGTTTGTAAAAGCATTACCCATACTGAGATATCACAGAAATAAGGATTTTCTTACATGAATGTTACAGATAAATTCTTTCACCGAAATATATATTTAGCAGACCTGGAAGTACTCCAGCAGTGACTCAAATTACAAGTTGCCAACAGCAGCATTTTTTTAGATTTTCGTTAAAATGACAGCATAGTTTGATCYGATATACTTAGATTCACATTCCTGTCCGCAACAAGTATCGCCCTTGTGTGGCTTAGCCCGGTGTGTTGTGAGACACATAACATCGGGTTATTCAAACTGTGTAGAGGAACCCCAAGTAAAGTTTCTTACTTGGGTTTTCTTACTTTAACCTTTTTTTTTTTTTTCAACAAAAACTATGTCTGACTTCCATATCTCCCCTTCTAGCCCACATGCAATTTTAACACTGATAATACTGAGCTGAGTGATGCAGGAATTAATCTGTCACGCAGCGTGCATCAGAATATTGATACCGGTGAAAGATTCTGTTAATATTCTTTTTCATTTTAATTTGAGTAACTTGTCTGTTTCGAGCTGCAGTGTTTTGCATTTCATTTTGTCTCGACACCCATGCGATTACGCTGCCCCATCCTGCTTCTGGTGATGTGATAAAGCCCCATTCCATCCGAGGCACCGCTGCAAGCGTAAGAGCCGCGATGGCAGCTCAGGCTAAAGCCATAAYGAGTCCAAGACTGGTCTTTTGGGAACGAGCGATTTTGTTGGGATTGCCTTTGAGAGGACAATTCGAGCTATTTCATTTGTTTTATTGCTTGTTATTAGCAGATAAGGCACATTTTTCGAACCATTTAATTTTCATCAATGACTACTTAAAATAAAAAGCTCAAGTAGGCTTTTCATCTCTACAGCATATCCCATGACAAATGCAAATTTTCAGTGTTGCATGCCTCAAGCACATACAYATAAGTCTGAATATTTCCTTTAATTACTGGAAAACTATGTTGCTGGCCGTGGAATTGAAATACTACACTAGAAATAAGCCTTTTAAAAGAAGGCACTGGGAGAGTAGCAGGCACATGGGGTTCTTATTACCAGGGCTTTTTGAGACTTAATTTAACTATTCCTGTTTTGATTTACTATTTAATTTTTGACTTTTSTCCAGACTGTATAAATGAATAGTCATGTTCATAATACATAAATGCATTAGATTTGAATTTGGTATTGTCTATTCCTGATATCTAGAATGTCAATTAAGAGCTTAATTTTCATATTTAGTTCCCAGTTGTGCACTTGATTTTTTTTTTTGCCTATTTGCTCTGTCATTATTTTTTAGATTAAACTGGAATCTATGCTTAAGAAATGGTAAAATTTAACCTTAAATTTGCAAACATGCTTTGAGAGTCATCACTGTCTCTCTCCTCTCAGTATTCCCTATAACACTAATATGCATTTGGCTTTTTCCTTAAATGAAACGGCCTAGATATTTTCTTTTTTAAACTGTTCTATTGTTAAATTGCCCCCAAGATTTTGCAATRTTTAGGACACCACTTTTCCCTCAATGGGGGAGAGGGGGGCATGCATGGCCCAAGAGCCAGCTCAGATGTGTTTCCTTCAGTAGTGGTAGAGAGGAGATACYGTGTCCTCCAGTCTAAAGTTTTTCCTTCCAGGGTTAATCTCTTTATTGAGGTGACCGAGTTGCTGGGGTGGATTTTCCCGGAACAGAAAGGAATGCTCCTCAGACCGCATCCCCCTTTGTCTGCATTTCTTAGGAGGCCGTAGTTCAACAATCCACTGCCCTTGGCAGCAAAGGATTGCTGCCCGTGCCGCAGTGCATCTTGCTTTAGTTGTCTCAGAGGTGCTGGGAAGCACTGAGGAATCAGGAGAACTTAAGAATAGCTTGCAAAAATCTCGTATTTGCTTTATTTCTTTTCTATTAAAGCTCCATGGTTTTATTTCTGAGTTGTTGGCCCCAGTACAGCTAAAGAGGTGGCATGCTATGGCCCAGGAGTATCAATACTGCAAGTTGCTCTTGCTGCTAAAGACTCTGCATCATAGCAGTATGGTTTCCTTTTTTTTTTTGTATTTGCTCTAGGAACATGGGCTCAAGTACGACTCAGGCTCTAAATCCCTGCCAGAATGGATTTTATCCTTTAAAGGCTTTTGCTTGTGTAGGTTGGAGCCTCCTCAGCAGTGAGGTGCTGTGCTGAGCCTAGGTGAATCAGGTTGCCCAGGTCTGGGCTGGTTTGTGAATGGATCAGCACGTAGGTATTGGAGCAATGCTGGGTATAAGACAGGCGCAAGTGAGCGTCTCAAGCTGAGCCAAGTGTTGTGCCAGGGCTTTGTGGCAGGAATACGATGACAGTAATCCAGTGGAGATATCCCAGACATTGCTCGTGCACATGGAAGCTGCAGGTAGTGCATGTGCAGTAAACCTAGTGTGTGGACACCAATGGGCTTCATTTATAAAGACACTAGCTATTTTACACAGCCTGAGTTTTGGGGAAGTCCTGGGCAGACTTCAAGTACCTGAGCTTTGCACGCAATTAGTGCAAGCTCAAGAGGAAATTCCCCTGGATCCGTATCCCCTGGCTTTGAAAGATTTCATTCCTAATGCTATATCCTGCTGATGTGGGAACAGCAAGTTCACACAGAGCAACTGCATCCATCCTTCTCCACCATGCTTTTGTATCCCCTCMTTTGCACTAGTTCAGGCCCTCACCTGATATTTACTGAGCTGGCTCGAGGTGTTGCACCAGATCAAATCCAGTCCTCACTCGAAAAGTTAATTTTCAGCCAGTTCGGCTTCCAAAAGGAGACAAGCCTACACTTGAGATCAGTAAATATTTTTTACTGTTGCAGTGCTACCGGGGTGCTACCTCTGTACAGAGCATTCGGTGTATAGGTTTGTATAAATTTTACCTGGACAACAAGCAYGTAGCCTCCAGGGTGCTGTTGTGCAGGTTAATCAGTGCACTATTTCTCTGGTGTCCTTTTCCACTGAGGATCAGAACGTTACATGACGGCATTTTAGTTCTGTGAAGCTGCATTTTTGCTTCGTGGAGGTGTTACTTGATGATTCAGAGAGCAAAATGTCTAAGGTGGAGTTGAAGTTATAGAAATTGTCTCTGGACTTGACTGGAAGCACACTGAACACAAGAGGATTCATAAATCTGTACTCTTATGTCCCATCTAAGATCGTTTTCTTAATTCTGGCTTTCTGAGTCTAGGAGGATAAGGGCTCTAGGTATGAAATACCTTTGCATTTGTCATTTAATATTCCATTTTATATATTTTTTTTCCTGTTATTTTTTTTTACAGACTTTTCGGTGGAAAGCCTAGTAAACAGGTTCCCCTCACAACCGCGGAAAATATGAAAAATTCGGTTGTCATCTCCAACCCTCATGCGACTCTGAACCAACAGGGTAACCCGGATTCCCCCTCTGGCAGCGGTGTGCTGAGCAGCGGGGGCAGCAGCCCTCTGTATGGCAAAAACACCGACATGAACCCATCCCCACTGGCTTCTAGCCCCAGTTCGGCGCATTCAGCCCCTTCCAACAGTTTGACGTGGGGGACCAACGCGAGCAGCTCTTCTGCCGTGAGCAAGGATGGCATTGGATACCAATCTGTGAGCAGCCTGCACACCAGCTGTGAATCCATTGATATCTCCCTGAGCAGCGGCGGGGGGCCGAGCCACAACTCCTCCACTGGCTTGATTGCGGCTTCCAAAGATGATTCCTTGACCCCCTTTGTCCGAACCAACAGTGTTAAGACTACGCTGTCGGAAAGGTCAGTAGGCTTTTCTCCCCTTGTTTCTGTAAGCTTGCTGTTAATCTCAGGAGAAGTGACGTTCTGGCGCTATCTGGCACTGCAGTCGCAGTTCAAATGCTCCTTCTTACAAGATAGTATTGGATGATGTTGCTAAAAAGAACAAAGAAAGAGTTTGTTCTTCAGAGAAGAACTCATAAGAGAACATTTTTCACTAGAGCATTGGTTCAGGTGAGACTTTTTGTTTGCTGCAGTAGCCAATGTAATTTTTTTTTACTACAGTATTATACCTGATCTTTGAATTTTGCATTGCATTGTCAACTGCTAGTTGATCCAATTGCAGAATTCAAAAAAAAAAAAAAAAAAGAAAAACTCCACCATTGTTACAATCTTAATTTGAGATTCGACTATTTCTTGTTTTACTTCGTGTTTATAACATTTGATAAATCTGGCCTGTGGGTGCTTGAATTTTGTACTTGCCTCTTTATGAAAGGAAATCACTGCTGAAAATGATGTTCTGACAATTTTGTTTTCTCTTTCTCTCTCTCTTTCTCTGTCTCTCTTTTTTTTTTTTTTAATAACAAATCCTTTCTGTTCTCTGCTCTTTACATTCTAATATTCCTTCTCTTGTTCTCTGTCTTTCTGAACCGCTTCTTCTAGCCCTCTTTCTTCCCCTGCTGCTAGTCCCAAATTCTGCAGAAACACTTTGCCCAGGAGACAGGACAGGTAATGCTGTCTCGGGACGGGCAAATGCACAAAAGCTGTAGGTTTCGTTGCCCATCTCAGTGAAGCAAATTGTTTTGTGAACGGCTGTGCTCAGTTGAGTCCTTTGCTGTGTGTGGTGTTCAGGTGTGAACTGACACGGAGACATGCCAGTGAGAGTCCACCCAAATCCCTCCTCGATCCCCTTCAATCTGGAGAGCTGCATACGGCAGAGTTGTCCTGGGGGGGGTTTTGTTGCTGTTACTACGGGGAACATCTTTGCATTTGTGTATTTTTGTTGGTTGCTTTTTTCTTTGCCAAAGGCTCTTGCAAATCTTGCAATGCTTTTTTTCTACCAATCCAAACTCTCACTAGCATTTCAGCATTCCTCTGGCATGCTGCTTTCTTTCTGCTGCATTGCAGGCCTGTCACTTTTGTCATCGAGTCCCGGCGTCATTCAGTGTTGTCAGTCTTTTACTGCAGCTTGGTTCGTGAGTGTTTTGCAGAGACTTGTGCATATCYATCCTTGTAAAAATGAATGCAAAAGGGGAAGAAAGGCAGCCTGAATCTAAGCATTCCAGCTCGCTTTTGCTCCCTCTTGCAATTTAGCCACTGCTGCACTTGGCATCAGCTGTAGTTTAGCTGGAGGGGTTGTCAATAAATTAATATTTTAAGCGGGTGCATTTTCCTTCAAAAACAAATTAACAGACTCTGTACGGTTACAAGTTCATCAACTGTAAAGTCACATACTACTAAATACTGGGTTCTTGGAAGACTCATAGACACATTTTGCTTTGAAAATGGGATTTAAGGTAAAAATGGGAAATCTAAGCAGGCTGTGCTTAGTTCTTTTCCTGCCTTATGTTGCAGTTGCATGGCAGTAACTATCTGCACTCCCTAGGTGGAGGCTGCTGAAAAAACAAAAACCCACCTGGAAGGCAACATTGACTTGGAAAGTCTCAGCTGTTTTCACAAATATTCCGCTTCACGCCTGCTGAAATACATGTTGCTAAGCATTCATTTGACACACGGTCTTGTTGTTTAAAGAGCCATTTTTGTTGGATGTGGATAGGAGAACAAGCAAAACGGCTTTGTGAGCAGATGGGATTCATTGGCATGGTCTCATCAGATGCATGATTGTGAAAATCCACCTGTGGCCGAGGAGGTTGTTGCATGTTCCTTGAGGAAAGGCYTTTTTTCCTCTGAAAAGGGGATGTGGATGTTTATGCTTCAGCCTGCTCCTATTCCTTCCCTTTTGCCCTTCTCTGAAGTTCTTCTCTTTTAACTTTTCTGCAGCGACCCACACCTTGATAGGAATACTTTGCCTAAGAAGGGACTCAGGTATCGGTGTTTCCGTGCAGTGTAACAGCTTTTGTTGTGGCTTTGGACTTGGCTTTGTGTTTCCGTCGTGGCTGTTGGTGATAGCAAGAGGTGGAAAAAGTCTCTTTCTTTCCCCCTTCCTTTCTTTTCTTCTTTCTCTCTCTTCCTTTCTGTAATCCCCAAAGAAGATCATTTACCGCTATGCTTTATTTCCATCCAGTGGCTTGTCCGTTTGAGCAAGAACTGTGGCTTTTGCTGGCTGAATTGCTGGAAAGCATCTCCTAATCCATGCCCGGGCTTGAGTTGGAAGCAATAGTTTTGCAGCTTTTATGGCTCTCGTGTGAAATGACGTGAAATTGTCTTCACGATAAGAATTTGCAGTATCACGCTGAACCTTTTGTGATGAGATTGGATACACTGGGGTTAAAAGGATATTTACTCCAGAATATGTGTATATAGGTCGCTAGGAATATTTTTTAGCCCYTCAAGAGAAAAACAAAACAAATAATCCCCAAACTGACAGAAATTGGACTAATTTTGTGTTTGTGTAAGGTTGTGATTTTTAGAACGTTAAAAAATTGCACTAAAAAGGATTTCTCCATTGATGCAAGCAATCCAACAACATCACRAACATCAGGCCTATTGGTTAAATGCTTTCAATGTTACTGAATTTACAAGGAGTGTCTTAGAAAACTTAGAAAATTGCAACTTTGGAATTGCTATGTGCTGCTTTTGGGATCCCTGAGCTGATGCCTTGAAGTTGCAGCTGCAATTTATTCTGTGCTCTACATATTATYCTTCACAGCAGCTTTAGCACATGAAGCTGAGTGCTAAAAGCATTTCTTAAAATGGAATTTTTGTTTAAGATGCTTGTGCGGTTGTTAAGTATGTCTCTAATAAATCAGGACTCTCTTTTAAGACTGAAAGATTTGAGTGCAGAAGAGGTAGGTATGAATGCTGGAAAAAAAAATCCTTAGTGTGTTAAAGCAAAATAACTGTTTATAGCCCCTTTGTTCATAAAACAGATATATATACGTGCAAACCTTGAGGGATGCAGGTAGGCTTCAGGCAGAGCCTGTTGCATGAGCTGAGACACGAGTGATTTTTCTCTTTTATTTTTTTAAGTAGGTTGAGTTTTTGCAGTGCTTGGTCATTATAGTGCTCACCTCTATTTAAAATAGTCTTCATAAAGTGTATCGTTTACGCAGTACCCAATCAAATGGAATCTAATTAAGGAAATAGATACTGTCAACTGATTGGATTTTAATTAATAGGCTGCAGTTGTTTAAGTTGTGGAAGGAAAGCTTGGTAACTCATAAACATGTCTCAAAACCAGCTAGCTCAGGGCAGCAGCAGACAGGTTAACACGTTCTTCTTTGAAGCCAATACTTCACTTGCGCTCTCTCTGTTGCTCCCTTTGTAATTCCTGTGCTAATCTACCTACTTTTCAGGCAAACGTAAAAAATCATCATTGAAACTCTGCCCTGTGGCAGGTTGTTGTTTTGCCATTGGCTTCAGCATAGATAGGATTTCCACTGTTTACCTACAGAAAAGCATAAGCACAAGCCCCTTTTTTATGATCTAATTCTGTTAGGCTTGAACTAAATGGGATGTACTTCCAAAGACTTTTAAAGTGTCTGTAATATGAGTTATTATGGCACAACTTGTTTAATCTCATAATGGCTTAATTGACTTGAATTTGACTTTAATATGTCAAAAGGGCAGCTAAGCTTTGAGAAGGACCAAGATACTAAAGTAATGATACAATTTTGGCCTAACCTAAGGCAAGGAAAGGATTTCCGAGTCGTCACTTCATTTCTCCATTGCACATACCTATACACACATAGTGCRCTTTCACACTGCTGCCCTGCACTACTTCTGTCTGCAACTTTTTGCTTACTACTAGTTTATTTGCTGCTGAAGTCATAGGAGTTATTTTTWCCAAACCCAAAGAAAGTAACTTAGGCTTGGGAAAAGCTCCTTTATTCAGAAATCTATTGTTTGTATCATCTTAATCCTTAAATTTTTTATGTGCGGTTCTTTTTGTCTTCTCCTTCTCTTCCTCTCCCCAAGTCTTGAGCCTTTTCTTGTGTTTTGTCTTATCTTTTAAGTAAATATCCAAGCTCATTTTGAAAAAACGTTTTTGCAGATACGCTCCTTCATCCCAACTTCGCACTCAGGACGATGCAAAGGAATGGTTGCGGTCCCATTCGGCCGGAGGCCTTCAGGACACTGCTGGCAATTCTCCCTTTTCATCCGGATCCAGCATCACATCACCCTCTGGAACTCGATTTAACTTCTCGCAGCTTGGTGAGTACTTATCTCTGTAGATAATCACAGCAGTAGGTTGTGCCTTGCAAAGACTCTCTCCGCAGCTCCAAGTGCCACCTTGAACCTCGGGAAATACTTTTCTTTGAAACGAGTGCAGCTAATCAGCGCTSTTATCTCCGGTGCCCAAAGGTCCCATTCTTGCAGCGCCTCTTTTCTATGAGTAATCACATGTTTTTATTATAAAACGGGAGCTATTCGGGAGAGCTGTTTGTTAATATCACACATTGCTATATTTAAAGGGATTAAAGTGCTGCCTTGCTTACCTGCCTAGTAATACTACCTTAAAATTCAAGCATATTTCATAGKATATGTGCCAGATTCATCCTTCTAAGGTATTCTACTCTTTATATATATTTTTCAGTTACCGTGTTTAAAAATCAGAAAAAAACCTTATCTGGAATAATGATAGAAAAATCASGGGAATTTTAAACTAGAAATGGCATTTTTTTTCACTTAATTACAYCAGTAAAAGCAAAAAAAAATTTAAATGTATGCTTTCATTTTGAAAGAAGTAGAAGTCTCATTTTGTATTGATCAGTAATTTCATGTTCAAGCTGAAACACTTGCAAGGTTTTGTATAAGGAATAACTAATATGAAATGTGCAATAATTTTTTTGTGAGATGAAAGTCTGCTTAGATACTGAGCCTTGTAGGCACTGAGGTCCATCTGTAATTTTACAGCTCCTTTTGTTTTGTTTTTAGTAAGTTAAGCAGTCAGTGCACTATCTGGGTTACTCTGTAAAAAGATCCAGTTATCGAAAATACGTGATTGTCTCTGGTATTCAGTATTATTTTCATGTCTTGCAATATGCTTCGATATGAAGATACATACATACTTATATATATATATATATATATATAAAACAACATTGTCTTTAGGGGACATTTGTTAATGATGTTGAACCATTTTCTTCAGTTTCTTTATGACTTTCAAAAGCCTGACTATGCTACAAAGAGAAAAAAACAGATATTATGCTAAATAGTTAAGCCTATATTTGTGARCTTGATATGAATTTGCAACAACCCACGTGGTCACCTATTTCTACTGCAGTTTTGAGTTGCAGCAGTGACATTGTAGGGCCCCTGTGTGAGTGTGCTGCAAATACAAAGATTAAATAAACAGCTTTAAATATACCAACACTTAGCAAAATTTCAGCTGAATATACAGACAGTGTCTTTACGTTGCCAACAGCTAACAAACTGTCAAGCTCATGGAAGTGCTTTGGTAGTCAGACAAAAAGTTAWAGTTGTTTTAGGCTCAGAAAGTTAACTCTTTGTGAGGAATATTGAAGATCAGTGACATTAATATGCTTTAAAAGCTATTTGGCCTCAAGCAAACTAACAGGAAAAAAAAAAAAAAAAGAAAGATAATTTAACTCTATTCTCTGTATTCTCCGTAAAAGAGGTTGGAGATATTGAAGAGTTGCCACTTTCATAGCAAATGTTGATATGAAAGGTGAGCAGAGCACTTTTGGAAAAAAATACTGTATTTTCTACATAAAAGGAAGTAAATCTTCACGCAAAAGTTTTTGTTTTWAAAAAGTACGGCACTGCAGTGGAAGTTTATTGCATGGGAAAGTATTGGCTGTTAAGGCAAAATTAATATTTGGAGCCTGTCTTTTGACCTGAGAACTGCTCAGACTTCTTRGATCTTAGTTATGTAAAGAAAATTCTGAAAAATAAAACTACTAGAAGATTAACTTAAATATCATGATTTCTCTTTAGTACGAATAAAATGTCACTTTCCTGGAGCGTGAAAGCTTTAAATGGCTATTTCACGGGCCTTGGTCTATCTAGGCAAAGATTAAAGTCCTTCAGGCATTTGACTCATTCTGAGGAAGAACTGTTGCAAATGAAATGAGGATTAATTAGTTTATGCCTACAACATGTTATTGAGTTCATTGAGCTTGCCTGTARTAGCACAGGCTTACCAGCCCGTGTTTAAACTTATTTACTTGTGTTTTCATATTCATTAGCTTGATTTACATACCTCTTACACGAACCCATTAAATTTAGAAATATAATGAAGTCCGGACAGGAAGATAGCAAAAATTTGTKGAAAAAAAAAAGGTCTTTTTTGGTAGTTGAACAAAAAACAAGTATGGCAATTTGTGGTCTCACTCTTTGTTTCTTCTTTACGTTGCAGCAAGTCCAACTACAGCCGCCCAGATGAGTCTGTCAAACCCAACCATGCTGCGGACTCACAGCCTTTCCAACGCCGACGGTCCGTACGACCCTTACAGTGACACCCGCTTCAGGAACAGCTCCATGTCCCTGGATGAGAAAAGCAGGACCATGAGCCGCTCTGGCTCCTTCCGTGATGGCTTTGAAGAAGGTTGGTAATGTCTGTGGAAGTGGAAATGGTTGGTAATGTCTGTGGAAAATCCCATATGGTTACATGTCACAAAACAGATGGTACCCACTTTTGGAAGTAAAGGACAGGTTAAGCCCTGGGAATGGTCCATAGGAAGGTGATAACCTTGGATCTATTGCTTCTATTACTGGATGCTGGCATTAAATCTTCATTTTGGCGAAGATGAGGAGCTGGCTGGATCTCAGGTACTTTATCAGGATGGGTCACTCAGTTTTCCGCTGAGCAAAAGCCACTGTGAATGGGGAACCCACTGTGTTGGATGCAGCTTCAAGAGGCTTCTGTGCTAATTCTTTATTGAATTCAGCCAGTCTAACTCTGGGAGATTTAATTGTATTTTAGAGGCTCACAGCTGAAGATCTTCATTAGGGGGTTGTAAATGATTAAATAACGCTGCAGGGCTGAAAACTCTGCCCTTGCAGGAACTGACCCTTTTTTGTACCGTGCTCCCCGCGAGCCGGATGGTCACAAATAGTGATTGACTGAGGAGGTCAGTTTAATGCCACTGTGATGAGTAGCCACACTGTTACTAAAGAGTCCTTTAATATTATCAGTTTAATGCCACTGTGATGAGTAGCCACACTGTTACTAAAGAGTCCTTTAATATTATCAAAGCATGAATTTAAATCACTGCTTTATTGCATTTAGATGATTTGAAAGAGCTACCATAGCAAAACTTCAACTGTCACCCAAGACATCCTCAAAAAAAAAAAAAAAAAAAAAAAAATGCAGCATTGTTATTTTATTATTTTAAACATGCATAATATTGCAGCCAAACCGTTTTGGAGTATGAGAGGGTAGACTATGTTGTAGTATTAAGAAATTTTTGTAAAGGAGAGAGACCAGAAGAACTTTTTTGTTTTGCTTTGTTACTCACCCATGAGAGGAATCATTTCAAAAAATAAAAGAAAAAGCAAAGAGTTTTCCAGGCCAAATGTTCTACAAAGCACTGCTCATTCACCTTTCTAAACCAAAAAGTGAAACCTAAGAGCACCCTAGCAAGTCATGAACCTGAAGTCAGTGGAAAAATACCGCTTTTAAGCGAGGAAGGAATTTGACCCTGCAGCAAACGTGCTGATGCAGTAGTCCAATTCAGATGTTCCTAAATTTTTTRGCACCCAAAGGAATAATAATATTTTATCAGATGGGCTGCGAGCTTTGGTGCAGTCTGTATTTTTGCCTACAGATTAAAGGCCTTCCATCAGTGCTGTGGTGACACTGCTGCAGGGAGCAGAACAGCCCTGCACCTCCTGCTTGTTGCAGTCGATCAGAAACTCAGTACATGGCTTATGGTAGAATTCATCATATATATATATATATATATATATATATATGTTCTATAGATATATATATATATATGTATGTAGATAGTGGTGAAAACAGTGTCAATGGAGTCTAAGTCACTGTCTTAAGTAATGTTTACCAACCTACCTCTGAATTTTTCTTGGCATGTAGGGTTACAAGATACTTGATTCTCCTTAACAGGGTCAGGATTTTATTTGTAAAAGACTTTATTTTTTTTCTTTTGTCTCCATGATATTCTGTCACATTTTCTTATAAGGCAGCATTTAGATGGCAACTTTTCTGATTCTTTTTTTCTGGTTCTGAGACTGTTTCACTGCAAAGGGTTTCGGGACGGGGAGATGCCGGAAAAAGCAGCCTCCAACGTATGAAGAGCTCCAGGGAAAAAGCTTGACCTAATGCTTAACTCTTCTCTTTGCTACCCCATTTCCCTGCTTCCAGGGGAGAAAGTCTTCTCCAAGAGCAGCTTTACTACTGCCTCCATCCTGAGACTTAAACTTYCTTGAGAAACAGGAATGAAAGAAACTATTTTGAAGATTTAATTGATATTTTTCATTGCCTTCCATGTTACTGACCAAAATATCTGTTTTTTTTTCCTACTGTTTGGACAACTGAGCAGGGCTGCACTGTTTTTTTCCTAATGTTAAAATAATACAGGGTTGCCTGCACAGTTATAGTGTTTAAAATAACAGCTTCCAAGCAATTTGGGTTTGTAGTCTGCGTGCAGATGCATGTTAGCTGCAGAACGCAGGAATCACATCAAGAGCATAGCTGCCTTCAGGCTCCTAATTAAATAGCCTTACGGTAGCCATCTGCAGACACTTTAAAAAGAAATTGCACAAAAATATTAACTCCTTGCTTGTCCTTGAGTCTAGAAATCTCAAATTAGGTACAACGTCAAATGAAGCACTAGTGGTGTTTTACCAGGCAGGCATCTGGGTCCCAAGCAGGGTTGCATTTTCTTTCCCATTTTCCCTTTGTTTATCTGAAGGATAAAATATAGGTGTAAGAAAAGTGGCGAGGCCTTAAGATCTATAATATGAGAGAGTTTGAATAGATTAGGAAGCTTTAGCTTAGAAAAATGACAGCCAAAGGAGGTAATAATACATAACAGATAATACATAACAGAGTCATGAAGGTTATTCATGACATTGCATATCACAAATATGAGGAGACTCTCAAGGAACTGATGTGGCTGTAGGTCTAAAAAAATTGTGAAGAAGTACTGCTTTTTAGCTGAAAATGTTTGGTTTACAGACAGAAAACATCAGTGGACTCAAATGTTATTGCACAGTAATGGCAAGTAGGTCCTGGTGGCTATGGGAAATAATAGTCTGAGTGTAATTCCCATCTCAGGAATTTCCCTCGCTGTTGATTCCCAAGAGATGCAGAGATGTACCTGGGGGAAAATCCTTGGGTATTTGCTTCGTGTTTGCAGCCCTTTCCCTGAGCGTTTGCTGCAGCTCTGCAAGGGGTAGAGCTCAGACCTCAGGTCTGACTCATTCTGGTTATTTTTGTGTTCTGTTTGCAGTCCTGAACATCTAACTRTAAGCATCATTTTAATTGAAAATATTACCAAAGCAGAAAAGCGAAGGGGTGTGACTTTCTTTATTGTGGGTTTTTAAAATTGTCTTAAATTCCTCCAGAAGCCAACTTAGACTCTGTTTACTTCTCTTTCCAGCCTTGCCTTAGGATATAATGTCAATGGGAAAGCAGAACCCATTTATTATGAATGTAGGAGAATTTCAGTAGGTAATCAGAGCAAAATGGCAGCTTTTTTAAACTTTTTTTTTGGCTGCAGTGTTTAGATGGAAGTAAGAGAGATTAATGTGATTTTGTGTGATTTGTATGAAATTCATCTACTTGGAATGAAAGCTACAGGAGAAGTATTTTGTTTCTAAAAATAAAAAGGAAAGATAATTTTGCATGTTTCATTAAYGGAAATTGTAGCTTCAGGTAGTTGTTTTTTTAACAACATAATCAAAAAGAAAATGATGTGATGTTTTATGTAAATGCTAACATCGAGGTGATGGTAATGACCTGAAGAATCAATGTATATGTATGCTTTTCACTGAATGTATATTTAAATGCAAAAGCTGTTTGAGCTTGATTCCTCTCCAGAAAAGCTTTTGTAGCTTTATTTTCACTCAAATCAGTTTTTGTAGGAGAAAGAGAGCTATGTCTTTGCTAACGAAAAATTATTACCTTAAAATATTATTAAATATTTTAATAAATAATAAATAATAAATAATAAATAATTTTATTTTTAATAAAATATTATTAACTTAAAAAAGACCAAAGCTGCTTGGAGGAGAAACATTCAGAGCCCCCCTGCAGCCCCTGTAGTCAGCACGAAGGTACCTTTGCTTCCAAATCTGCAGCCCCCAAATTAGACATTTGACTTGTGTGCTCAGAGTCTTCTTCCTGAGTGCCTGGTTAGATCCTGGAGCTGGCTGGGCTCCTTAGAAAAAAAATAAATTAAATATTATATAAGTAAATATTAAAAACTAGTAAAATTAGTAAAATATAAAAAAGTAAAATTTTAAATTTAAAAATTTAAATTTAAAATTTTAAAGTAAATATTAAAAAATAAATAAATTAATGAACAAAATAAATAAATCTGATCTAAATCTAAAGAAGAAGTAGGTGTGCATTGTTAGCTGGTCGTATTTTCTTCAAATTGAGCATTATTAGGACAATAATGTAATTAAGCTTGTGACAGATGATGAAAATATTTCCTCAATAGAGTGATAGATGGTGATGGGTGATGTGTGCATGATCCCTTTCTGTACCTGTTGTATTTATATTTGGTTTATTTCTTTCCATTAGTGCACGGTTCTTCTCTCTCCTTGGTGTCCAGCACATCTTCCATATATTCCACAGTGAGTATAGTGAAATGAACAATCTGGGTTTATTTATCAAATTATTGAAATGACTGGTCTTATTGCACAGGTTACTTTTGTCCTACAAGAAAGAGAAAAACACACTTTTCATTTGATTGCTTTCTGTAGAGAAGTATTTATCGTTTTTAAAAAGTTGTGGATGTTTAGCAGCATCTGCATGAGAAGGCAATTTATTTTTTGAATCAACATTTTACTTTATGTTTTGCTGCAATAGACCTTAGTGGATCAGAARGGATTTGACCTTCCAATTTGCTGAATAAAGTAATCCCAGACATATATTAATAATTTGCTTAGTTTAAATAGCTTTTTAATAGCATAGTTCTTAAGAATTGTAAAGAAACCATTGCTGTTGACTATAGCAGAAATATTTTCTCCAAAAGTATGTATTCATTTAGGCTATCTGATCCTGAGATAAGGTTTACTGCCCTTCAGAAATAGATTTTTTTAAATTGCATTGCATTTGCTTATTTTCTTTCAATAGTCTCATGAAGGATTTTTCATGTAGAAAGTGTAATATAGAAGACTCATTAAATKAAGAACATACTTACACTGTAATAGGGCGATGACTGTGACACATACACGGTACCTTGTGTAGCTTTTACCTAGTTAGATGGGGGGTAACTGCAGTGACTTGGGGCCCGAGCAGATCCCAGTGCACACAAGCCCAGACAGAAATATTCAGCAGCTGATGTTTAAGCCCTGTGGTTTCCTGCTCTTGGTATCCAAACTAGCTCAGTTAAAGTTGGCTTGTTTTATTCTGGCAGGCTACAATCAGAATTTTGGGGTGTTCTTCAAGCACAGCCTTTTTGGAAAGCAAACAACGTGTAATAATTCACTTCTGAAATACGTGTTAATTGAAGAGAGCCTTTAATTTTGAATTGTTATGCCAGGATGATGCAACGTCGGGCTCACCACACAGCCCCAGGTGGAACAAGCCTGCGTGCTGCCCAACACGTTGAAGGGCTTGCTCTTGGGAGGACGTGCATAACTGCTGATGAAGAAAGGCCCGTCAGGCCAACACTGTGTATTATTTCAAATGCTTAATTATAGTTACATAACACAGTCTTAAGACCGTGATAATAAATGAAAGGAAATACCACCTTCCATTGGCCTTGCTGTGGTTAGAGCCATCCAGTGAGCCTGGGCCACATACAGTTTTGCATACAGGAAATTTGCCATGTTGGTCACAATTTGTTGCAATGTCCTCATATATTTCCCTGGTTTTATTTTATAGCCTGAAGAGAAGTGCCAGTCAGAGGTAAGAGCACATTTTTTTTTCACATGCATAAATATGCTGTCGAGACACTCTGCGTTTTGTGTCTTGATAGTTTAGTTCTCCATATCAAGGTGCAGTAAAGTTATCTTTTACAATATATAGATTCGCAAGCTACGAAGAGAGTTGGATGCGTCCCAAGAAAAAGTGTCTGCTCTGACAACTCAGCTGACTGCCAACGTGAGTACAATTCAGAGAGCAAACGCTTGCAGGGAATGCTTTTGTTGCACTACCAGTTACCACCTCCTTTTTTCTAAGTGACTAAAAAAGATTTCAGGTGTATAACATTCATTTCATATTGTCTCTATGTCTAAAAATAAAACTGCTTGCATTTGGGACCTTTCCAAAATTAATCTATTCTATCCTGACTTATGCATGTATTTATATACTGAAATGTAATATTTACTTGGCTTTATACATGTGTGAGCCATCTTTAGGTCTTGAAAGAATCCAGGTGCACTGAGAATTCATTTGCACTTATGTTTGAAGAATGGACATATCCAATTTCTGCCTAGCATAGTCAATAGTCTTGCTTGTTTCCTATGAGAAATTGGAATTTGATAAGGAATKTATTGGATTGGTTTGGATTTGAATTTAATTTGATAGGAATTTGATTTGAAACCAGGCGGTGTTGAGGCAACACCATGTATGARCATGAGCAAGATTATTTGTATTTTCTGTCACAGAAAATGTGACAGATTATGTGTATTTTCTAGTCACAGATAGCAGATATCTGAAAAACAGAAGCCTGCTAGAAAAATAAGCAATTCTAGAATAAATAAGCCGTGCTTGCATAGTCATCAGATCAGATCACACAACAGTAAACTTGGCACAATAAAGGACAGATTTTATCTGAGCAATGACTCCAACCACAGGAAGGATTCAGGGGGAAATCCACTGTAATGTTTGCTGCRGGCATCCCGGTGCTTCATCCAGCTTGCAAAGTAGAGAAGGAAAACCAGCATCACACTAAATGTGGAAGGCAAACAAAAGCATTATGGCTGCGGGTAATTGTTGAATCGTATTCAAAGAGGAGGAAAGAAAATTGATCAAAAATTAATTCTAATGTTTGTAGTTTGCAGGACTTCTTTTTTATTAAAGAAAATCAGCATCATATATGCCTTGCTAATGTTTCATTTTTTGTTTCCTTTTTTCCTCATTCACTTTCCAAAAAATCACTTTTTCTCATTCTAACTAACTTTCACTAAAAAGTTCATTCTGTTTAAGCTGCTTAGATCTGAATCTGTAACCCCTTTGCCTGTGAATCAGCTCCAGCTTGTCGCAGCGATGTCTCTAAAACTGTCCTGCTAACTGTCCTGTTTCAGTCTCATTCTGGGACAGCAGTTTCTCTATGGACAATATACTTTTTTTTCCATATAAAAGGCCAGATCTGTATCCGAACAACTTTAGGGAGATCGATTCTGTTTGTAAAGATGATGCTTTATGACACTTCCTTTACAGGAGATTTGTTTTTAATGCTTTTAGTGTAAGCTATTTGAATTTCTATCATTTTTTGATTTATCAATTTTTTTCTGAGTTATCCTGTATGCACACGATAGCCTTGATGTTATTCTGAGTACATATGGGGCAAAAAAAAATGTGAAAATAGTTCCTKCAAACTAGAAAGTAAAAATAACTATTTTCTATAGCCCACAATCTGTTTCCCACATGCCGTCTTTTTAAACTTCTGCAAAGTTACTTCTCCTGCCCCTCCAACAGAAACTTTGCAGTCTGTTCTTTAAATAAATATTTACCTTTTCAAACACATGTAGTGAGGATTTAATTTATCTTTTTGCTATTTTTCTCACAGTCTCAGCTCCGCTTGTTTTCCCAAGGGCTGGTGGGAACAGGAGATGCGTGTCCCCGTGTTATTGTACGGCTCCTGTTTGTTTGCACTGTGAATGGGAGAACAGTTATTTAGGATAAATCATCTGTGTGCTGGATGGGCGACTAAGTCTGGAAGGGCTCCGTGAAAGATTGTGCCGTTCTGCATAGACCCAGACTAAGAGAACCTCCTTTTCTGCATGGAGAGCTTTTGCAAAACATTATTTGTGCATGTTTTTTTTAAGGCAAAAAAAAAATGTAATAAATAATAATAAAGTTACTGTAGGTCATCATGGATAATCCAGCAAAACTGTAGCTGAGTTATGCCTGTGTTATTGATTCACATGCAAGCTGACCTTGGTATTACTAACTTTGCTGACGTCTTATCTGCTGTCCATTAGAGAGAGAGAGGATGATTGACTAAGTTGGGATAGATAAGGGTCACCAAGCATAACTCCTTATATTAAGTATTCGGAAGACTAGGAATTTTAGAAAAGACTTTCTATATTTTCTGGTAAATACACTTTAAAATCTAAAAATATCAATTGTCAGGTAGTGATTTTAAGATTGTACATATTTAGGATCGTAGCTTAATAACTATGGAAAAAAAAAAAGCAGCCTTGTTATGGGTTTATTAGTCTGTTAGTCCATAAGCAGTATGGACTAGCAGATCCATCCAATGTCTTTTGCTAGTCTGCATTTCTTTTAGTGCAAACTTAGTGCATCAGTATGTCATAACATTTTAATGACATTGTTTAAAAAGACTTGCAAAAAACACTTTTTAAAAACCTCTTCTGAATAGCAATTCTTCAAACGTTTTTTGAACTTTTAAACCAAATTGTAGTTCCAGAGAACTAAATTTTTGTATGTAGTCTCTAGCAGTTGTAAATTAAGAAGAATGATTTTCCTATGCCTTCGGAAGCATTTAATTTTCTGTATTTTCTTCACATATTTAGTAATTGCTTAGGCAAAAAGATGCTGCATTTTCAAGCCTTCTCTGTGCATCTAAAATGAACACTTGAATTGCCTTCTAATATCTTTATAATGAAACACTTTCATGCTTACAGGATACTTTACACGTTTTTACATGATTTCACTCCCSCTATATGATTTTTCAATAGTTTTTAATGACAATACTTTGTTAAGAAACRAGACTAATGCTCCTTTCTTTAGTTCACAGAAAGTGGAGTTCTCCTCCTCTAGTTTAGTACAGATCATGGAAATSTTGACTTTCAAAAATCAATAGTATCATGAGAGAATCTTAAATTCTCTAAAGCAGACTTGTGCTCTTGCCCATGTTTGTTTTCCCTTTCTACTTTATACTCAATTTCTTCCTTTCTACTTCATTTTAATTTTCAGGGCATCCATCTTTAACTTATCCGCCATAATCCTAACTGCCTATTTTTTTTTTTTAATTGCTGTTTGGAAGCTTTCATTTTATTGCCAAAAGCTTTGCAGCAAGAGTTTCCCTAACTCTGTAAGCAGCTACTTGAAGGCTATCATCAAGCAGCTCTACGGATGCTAATAAAGGTCCATATAAAAAGTCAGAGATGAGTCTCCATTCAAGAATTTAATAGCAGGAGGTGTTTGGGCATGGTTTATTTTGTCTCTCTCTCCTTCCTGCATTTCATGACGGATCTGTTTCCCAAAGTGTTGCCGGCAGCTGCCGCTCAGCAGGGCATGGTTTATAGCCCCAAAGTCCGTGGTTTTAGTTTTCTGCTAGCAGTCACTTGACATGGGCAGCCTGTCGCCTTGGAATGTTTTGCAGTGGATCTGTTGCCTTCAGCACTTCCAATTTTCCGCAATTAAATTCCTCTCAGTAATTTCTTTATAAACATTTTTGCAACGTACGCTGAGTTCATATGGCCTTTCCTAATCTATCCTATTTTCTGTATATGATTTATATAGGAAAACAAGCAATGAAAAATAACAAAACAAAACAAAAAAAGCACACGCTAAGTAGTACACTTAAATACCTGCATAAATGTTCTTGTTTGTGCGGGGAGAGCAAAATATTCACTCTTTGGTGTCGTTTGCTTTTCAGGCTCACCTGGTAGCAGCCTTTGAGCAGAGCCTGGGGAACATGACCATCCGACTGCAAAGCCTGACCATGACAGCTGAGCAAAAGGCAAGTCCCAGAAGTATTTGTGAATACTTGTGTGAATATAGTGAAGGAATAAAATGTAATAAKAACTTGGTAGGAAATGCTTGTTTGCTTCACTGGTATTTTACGACAGCTAAACAGTGTTCCTGCAAATTGTTGCTTTGCAACGATTTATGTTGCATCATAAAAGGATGCAGTGCTGAGGGCTAGCATCCTTTTATGATATATTTCTTCCCAGTGCATATACATGTGCACGTCCAAAAGAAATACTATGACAAACTGCAACTATGCTTTGTAACATAAATAACGCTGGATTTTTTTTAAAGAATCTATCGGAACATACACTATTTCTGTATTAAAGAGCATGYTTGTTTTTACAATGGAGTATTGCAGTAGCCAAGCTATTTTGTAGTCTGTTGAGGGTGTGCTTCCCCAGGTAGCTCAAATCTCATTGTCATCTCTTTTTACGTATGTATTCCATTAATGCCCTCCCAGGTACCTTCAGCTTCAGGTCAACAGATGGTGCCTTGGGAGTCATTAGATACCATCTGTGTTATCAGAGGTGTCACCAGTTTTGTTTTGTGTTCAAGGATTCAGAACTGAATGAGTTAAGGAAGACTATCGAACTCCTCAAGAAGCAAAATGCTGCTGCCCAGGCTGCCATTAAYGGAGTCATCAACACACCTGAGCTCAACTGCAAAGGTGAGAAGCAAGYGCTGCATTTAGCAGCTTTGCAGGACTCAGGAGACGTGAGTCCCCTTGATAGGATCTGGTGTAACTGGGCTTGTCAGACATCTATTTTGTCTCAAGCTCTAGTTACTTTTTTTTTTAACGGTATAACGTGGGKTTTTTTTTATGGATATCTATGTAAATAGTACAATACGGTAGAAAATGAAAGTGCTAAATGATTGAGAAAGCATTTTAACAAAACAATTCTGTGTGATATCTCAGAATTTACTGACAAGATTTGGTAATTCACCCTTCTAGATACTGACATGAGATGGGAGCAAAGAAAGCCCTTCTCTAGGCCATGGCAAGCTGTGTAATGGCCTTTTCTTCAGCATTTTCCRTAATTTTCCTGATTTTGACTGAATGCCATTTTGTAATATCTCACTTCTCTTGCATTGGTTGACACTGGGTGAAAAGGTTGGAAGAATCTGTGCCTAAATTTTATTCTCTTCATGAGAATCAAGGCCTAGGCAAGACCACTTTGAACTGTGTCAGTGCAAACGTTTGCAAATGTCTCTATTTTCCCAAATACTTCTTTGAAATTGAATGATGGGCACAGATGCTTGAACTTTGCAAATAACTTTGCCACTGAAGCCCCTGCTTGTTCAGGTCCTGGAGCTGCTCAGCCAACAGACCTGCGGATCCGAAGGCAGCACTCGTCGGACAGCGTCTCCAGTATCAACAGCGCTACCAGCCACTCCAGCGTGGGCAGCAACATAGAAAGTGACTCAAAGAAAAAGAAGAGGAAGAACTGGGTGAGTATATTTGAGCTGATTGCATGAAGTTTATATAAAATTGTCGGAACACGCACAGCACAGTCTAGTCATTCAACTCCTCCCTCCGTTTCGTGCAGCAGGTCAGCACAAGGACTATGCACTGTTTAAATCCTGTGTAAACTCCCTTTTGGAGATTTGAGTCATACGTGATGAATATGCTTGAGTTGACTATGTGTAGGAATGAATTTTACTATAGCAGCCCAAAAGAG